CTTACTCGTGGTCTCTTGCCAGCTCGCGCAGAGTCTGACGCGGGCTAACTAGATAGCATGCGAGAGGCGATACACTCCCTGCGTTGCATCTTCTGATGCCTCCGAAGTACGCAGGGCACGCGGATCGATCCGACTGTGGTAAGCCATCCCGTCCGTCGTGTATTTGCATATTGGCTTTTTCGCGCTCTAGCTTTGCAACGGAGCATTTTCAGAGAAAACCGCGTTTATTTTCTGACCTTCGTAGCCCGTTGGGTAGATGGTATCGCTTCTGGGACGAACAGACGTTCGAGGAGTGAGATATAGAGTAACAGACAGACAAACAGACAGACAGACATACCCAACTACTGTACCCTCGCTGCGCATGCGCGCCGAGGGTAATGAAAAGCACTGAAGTGCAAACCCTCGGCGCACTGTGACGCGCACGCGTAAGTAAACGCATGCGCAGTACCACTAACTGATGGGCTGGGTTTAGTTTTAGTCGTGGTCTCTTGCCAGCTTGCGCAGAGTCTGACGCGGGCTAACAACTACACTACTAGATAGCATGCGAGAGGCGATACACGCCCTGCGTTGCATCTTCTGGTGCCTCCGAGGTACGCAGAGCACGCGGATCGATCAGACCGTGGTAAGCCGTTGTGTATTTGCATATTGGCTTTTTCGCGCTGTAGCTCTGCAACGGAGCATTTTCAGAGAAAACCCCACATATTTTCTGATCTTCGTTGCCCGTTAAGCAGGTCGTATCCTTTGTGAGACGAACAGACGTTTGAGGAGTGAGATGTCGAGTAACAGACAGACAGACACACACACACACACACACAAACCCAACTACCGTAACCCTCGCTGCGCATGTGCGCCGAGGGTGAGAATCCAACAATTTTACGACTATGCCCATCTACAGCAGCAACGTGAACAATGCCTTACATTACTAATTTCTCGTTCTGATCAAAGTGTATCTTTTGTCCATAAAACTCAGCACGGTATGGGATCGGATTCAAAGCTCTTCCTAGTGTTCGCCTCCTAACAGAATGCGCCAGGGGGAAACACGTCTAAGAGAGGCTCCAATTCGAGATTGACTTACGTGAATCCCCTGGGAATGCAGGAGGCCATGTAGCGATCGTCGACCGTAGGAATGTCCTACGCGCGTAACCGCGTACTGTACTAACCTGTCCAACTCAACGGTAGAAAGGTTCGACCTGTAGTGAATGTCTCTCGAGTGACAAAAACGTCGAAGGCTTCGAGCAGATATCCCTCTTGTACCAAGGAAGAGACTTTGCAAATACTGGCTCACTGTTTCCAACGTTTCGCCACGGTCTACTCGCCCCCGAATCTCACTCTCATACACAGCGAACAGCCTCGCTGCCATGCTGGGGGCGCACGCGCACGTGACTGAATCTAGGCCGTCACTATACAAAACCTTTGATGTATAGGTGTAGAACTATAAAGATGAGGACGATGAAACTGCAGTAGACAACAGGGAGCAGAAACGACTGTACACCATACAAAATATTGTATCAATCTGAGCAACACCATGGACAATAGTTGAATGAGAATTGCGGGGTAAGTTCCTGAGTTTACTTAATAGTTTATTCAAAGCGACGTCAATAACCCTGATAAAGGACGACGAGAGTGACCATAAAGAGCAGCCATACAAAGATAGGCAAAAGGACTTAAGCAAATATCACTTCACAAATGGATCAGCTGCATGAAAGGCGCAGAGTAGATAATTGGCCTTACGATTCAGATCTTTGACAACTCTGAGAATATCACTACTGTCATTTAGATCAGATGTGACAATGTGACCAAGATGAGTAACTTCATTAGAATAGCGCAGGGCGTGGTTGTTGAATATGAAAAGAGGAGAACTAGGACGGGTAGCTATGATGAAGACGAAAACAAATAAGCTGAGTCTTTTCAGCATTGAGACAATGAGTAGACACATACGAAGAACATAATGTTTAGCAGAGTTATTATAAGTGCCGATGCATACGATATATATACCTCTCGCCGTTACATGCGTACTATTGCCAGAACGGTGAGAAGGTGAGCAGAACGGTACTTACCTTATGCTTTCAGCTCGTCAGTCGTGGTCCACCAGGCAGCTGGCATGCAGCAGTACCTCCACGAGCAATCCTAGCTTATTTCCAAGTTGCACCTTCAAATGAAGATTGGGAAGAGGTATATACAACCTCGGTCAGTCACCGAAGATTGCAGCGCATGCCGTCAATTGGAGGTGAGTTCTCTCACTGGCTATATAGAACAGTGTCTCAAGTGAAAGTACCGTTTCCAATTTTCATATTTTGTTTGATTTTCATATACTCGGTACTTTCATGTCATTTTGCACTTGATTCAGAGAAAAAATTAGCAGATTTATGTTGACAATTCGAGCAAATGGATGACAAATTTGTGAACCTTTCAATTGATGGGCCCTTTTTACAACAATACCAACATGCGGTTCACAAATTTGTCATCCTAAAATTTCAGGGTTCACAAATTTGTCACCCCTGTAGTAGGATAGTATTACACAGTCACAAATTTGTGAACCCTGACTTCCGAAGTTGACTATGAAACTTTGCTAAATTATGCATTTGCTGCAATGTACCTTGTTTTCTTAGAATATTTAGAGGAAGAGTGCTGATTTTTACATGATATTGGGGGAAATCTGAAAATTGGAAACAACTTTTACTTAAGACACTGTTATAGATGGATCGGAGCATATTATCGCGTAACGAAGCCGCGCATGCGCACTTACACGACGTACGCGGTCGTCGCTCGAAAGAACGACTTGGTTGGCTCGTTCCCGCTCGCCAATGACACCGTGTGTATGTATAGGTTATATGCTCCCTCGTGCCCTATCAAAACTGAAGCCACGAGTGTGCAACCAGTAAACCACGCGCCGCCATCGTATAACGTGTTTGTATCTGGCGGTAAGGCTCTGACCAATGAGATTGCGCAAAAGCTTTCAAAACGCCCTCTTTTTAACGCACACCCTCGAGTGTATGGAGAGAGCTAGCAATCGATCGGGAGAGACAGCTGCAATAAGCGCTTTAGTTTAGTCCAGCTGGGCTGTTATGCAGAAGCCATGGCCATTCTCGAGAGTTCAACGTTACAGGTACGTCAAAGCTATACTCTTTCGCTGCTAGACCCCACACGAAAGTTTTGTAGCTGCCCCTCTGGCTCGCTTTCTCTCCCGCTATACCAGCACTCTCGAATGCAGCCTGCTGCAGTAGCAAGAAAGCTGGCAACTGTAATATACGGACAACTTCACTGGCCCACTTCCCATTGCGGCGACCAACAGGCAGCAAGAAGGGCATTGCTCGTTGTTGGCACTGCTCCCACACACGTCGGCCGCCACTGAGGAGAGAGACAATGTGGTGGTACTGTGGAGAGTGCGACTTGTACCTCTGCCACACAGGAGTCAGAGAGACTGACTGCTTCATGGCACACCATGAAGCACTACTATGAGTATTGTGCACTTTCATAGTACTAAACTGCACATACAGCTAAAAGTACACGTAAAGCGGCAAGTTCTAACGGCAAACACATCACTTATGCTGTGAATAAACTTACTTACACAACATTCCTGAAGCGTTCAGGGACTCTTCTTCACGTTAGCGCTGAGTTGCGTATCCAAAAGCTCCGACGTCTTCTTGCCTGGTAGCGCGGAACATGAGAATCACATCAACCCGTCATTTTCTTACACAAATGTTGCGTAAAACTTACCTTCACACTATTGCTGAAGCTGCAAGGGACTCTTCGTCATAGTAACGCTGAGTTGAGTGTATAAAAGTTCCACCGTTTATTCGCTAGGACGCCTGGAACACGAAGACCACGTGTACGTACGCGGTTGCGAAATCGGATATTCACCTGACCTTGTGACCAGCATAAAAGCTAGATTCATGCTTCTGAATAATCATCAATGAATGAATAATTATTAGCTATTGGATGTAGCTAGCTACAATATTTGTAGCCTCACGTGGGGAGTAAAAAAATAAAAGCATTGCTGGACAAACTTTGTGTCTATAGCTACACCTCTGCATTACTTCCCATTGTTTATCAGAGATGTTTATGAAAACACAAGTGGAAAAAAATGTCATCACAGCTTTGTGCTGCAGCACCCAGGAACATAGAATATTATTCTGTTGAAATTATTGTTACAGTAGCTTTTGGACACACAATAGTTCACAAACTTGTATAACGTGTATGAGAGTGTGTAGCTGAACACTAAAAACAATTGATAAGTTTTTGCGAGAGAATGCTCTAAAAAGAAAGAGTGAGAGTGTATGACCTCAGAGATCCAGTAAAAAATGCAGAAGTGCAACATTTGAAAACTAAAGTAGTTAGGAAAGCATGAAGTTTGTAAGCTTCTTTTGCCCCTTAGCAATACATGTTGGTGTTTGAGCGGCAAGGAATGGGTGAAGTTTTTTTGAAGATTTGGTATGGTGAAGTAGAGTCTTAGCTAACTACCTGTGGTACACTTATAATAATTATGTACTTTCTAAATTTCCTTCTTATCAGTGTTGCTAAAATGTCGATTAGTTTGAGGCACTGAGAACTCATAAACTCCATGTCACTGTAAATCGCTAGCAATTGGCTGAGGTAAATATCTTACTATAGATATGGCCAAAGACTTTTTCTTCTTCTTCTTACCGGAACTAGTTGAAGCGGCAATTTTGAGCCATACCTAGCTATAGCCCCCTTCATTTTGAATAAATGCTTGTCATTTTTGTGTCAGAGTGTAGCATACTCAACTTTTCCTCCAATGTTTATGAGGCAATTGTCTTTGCGTGGTCTATGGCCCTAGTGCTATGGCAGCCACCTGAGTATTATTATTATTGTCTAAAGGAGTGTGTTTTTCAAAACTACCTGATCGGAGACCCAGTAAACAATACAAAGTGCAACATTTCAGCACTTAGGAATGCATAGTTTGTGTAAGTTAGTTTCACCCCTATACAATACATATTGGGGTTTACCAAATTTGAAGAGCAAATAAATGGACAAAAATACATTAATATAGGATACAATATTTAGTTGCTACATTGTCATCATTAGTTATAGGCACTGAAGACTCCATACGCAAGGTTACTGCTAGTTTTCATAGCTATGAGGCCTGAATATGCAGGGTTAGCATTCACAAGAGGATTTACTGTGACTGTTATGACTTCTTCATACACTGAGAAGGAAAATAAGACCATAAATTTCGTGAACTTTATTTATCACCTACCTGGTTGCTTCATTGTTTCAGGACTGTTCTTGCCTAAAATGGTGAAAGCTAACAATAAATCCTTATACTGTTAGCTATCATCTTGTTATACCTTTCTTTTTCTTCTTACCTACAATTAAGTCAAAAAATTATAAATTGTGGTATGAAGATAGGTTGTCCTTACGGATTATAAGGGCAACTGCAATTATCAGAAGGCTACTAAGAAGTATAACTGCAGCTGCTACAATGACCCCAGCTTTTGTTGTGGAAGCTCTATGTGGCCTTGTTGGTAAGAGAGGGACGACATCTGCTGAACGTGCTGTGTTAGAGATGGCCATTCCCTCTGATTTCCATAATGTAGTCACACTAATACCTAAAAAGCAATGCATGGGGACATTGTGCAATTGTGAACCATCACAACTCACGTGAACTAGAATTAGCAGTGTCAGATCCAGTGTCGTATTCCATGACAAGATAAGCTCTTGAGCTTTCGTAACGACCCCCGAAAGTTATAATGTAGCAGTAGTAGCATGTATTGTTCATTGACCGCACTAACGGCCCGACAACGAGACTCTTCGTGAAAGTTTCCTCTTTATAGCTGTACCCAAGGGGGAGATCCGTTATTTGGTAGTCCGTACCATTTATACCCCACCCGGGATGCGCTGACTTGCTGTTCAGTCGACACTCAAACGACACTATGTCACCTATCGTGGCGTTCCGCATCGATTGAGGGCTGCGAGTGATTGCAAGACCATCCACAGTGCCAAAAGCGAGAAATACAAGCACAAACCGCTTCATCTTCTCGTCAAGGAGAGCACACAGACAATGATTGCACTGTAAAAACGGGGGTGTCAGAATGACACCGGGGTTTCAAATTTTGAAGTGCAGCAACGACACCGCGGTGTTCCAGTTGCACTGCGGTGTCGCAGAAACACTCCAATGGGTGTTGTCACAACGCGCATACAGCAAGTCCGCATGCGCAAACAGGTCGGCCACGCCTTCCTGTCCTACCGCTTTGACCTTTGCACTCGTAACGTGGCTTTTCAGCAATGGGGAAGCGGTCTAGGGAAAAGCAGAGAGAGAGGCGACGATACCAGAAACGGAAAAGGCTACAAAAGCCACCTAAGAAGTCTTTGCAAGTTTTAACTCCGGACAAATCAATGAATGCGGAGGATGGTACCGCCTATCGAGACGACCTCCATTCGGAGATCCCAAACAGTTGTTCTGGCGAAACCTACCTTGCATCGGACTCTGTAGGGTCTTTGAGAGGGCCTGATAATATTGATAGCCCTCTGTTCGGTTCTGATAGTTCACCTAGCTCGCCACCGTCTTCCCCGAGTTCACCTAGCTCGCCTCCGCCTTCCCCGGTCACGGCGGCGACAGCACCGTTCGAGAACGAGATGCCTATTGTTGTAGTCGATAAGAAGAGGAAGCTTGAGGTTCATATCTCTGACCCTGAATACGAAAGGTTGCCTGGAGCAGAAATAGTAAAACTTTCTACAGAGGAATACTTTCGTAAAATTGATGACCACAAAAAGAAGTCCCAAATCACCGTCAGGTGTCTGCGTGATAAAGTTGAAAGACTTGAAAAAGAGTTATCCATCACCGAGAACAGTTTTAAGATCAAGAAGGAAGAAGCTGTAAGTAGAGTAAGAAACTTTTGGAGGAATCTCATTGAGGGTGACACTCATGGCGGGAAAATGGTCCAGGCAGCAAGAAAAAGAGCCGCATGCTAAAATGTAGACAATAATCATTAATTTGTGTAAACTTTATATGTATATATTGCTCCTTAAAACTGTGTATTGTACTGATGTATTGTTTGATAAGTGACAATGATACAGTCCATAAGGGTGATAAGTGGGCAAGGTTCTGTGTTGAATCAAAAATTTCTCCCGCAAGGAAAGAGGTGGGAGTGATAATGCATAGGCATGGTAATGTTCACAAAACTGCACATGCATAAGCTCAAACTCAAAAAAAACTTGCTTAGAGTACACTAACACATTTACGACATGTCCAAATTGTAGCTCATCATCTTCATGTGATCGTCCCACAACCAATGCACATGGTGTCTGGTATTTGGTTCCATGAACCTTCACCCAGTTTGCCCTACAAAACAGAGATCTGACGAACCATACCTCTATACAAGTGCATTAGCTTACAACATTGTGGTACATATGTATATTATAATACATAATATTATATAGCACTGCCAAAATTGTATAATATATAAGTTTGCTCCCAGCGCGCACTCACAAATGACAGAATAATGTGTCACACAATGAAGCTTGGCAAGAAAACACTAGAAGTATACAACCTGCTATGTAAACATGTACAATCATACATACAAAATTATATCCACACCTAAAAAATGAAGTAGATGGAGGAGCAGCGGTTGAGTTCCACAGAGGTAGTGTATATACAGCTGGAATTCTTGCCTGCATGTTATGCATTCATGTACACATTACGCCCATTATTCATGTACACACCATAACATCACATGCAATACGTTGTAATATGACATTACCAGGTCCAATTTCAACTTCCTCTCCTGGTAGTGAGTCTGTGTTCAGTGAGAGGTAGCACTGGTGCATTTGATGACGAAGGGCGAGAGAGAAACAAATATTTGTGAAGTTTCCCATTACATTTGCTAAGTGCTTGAAATACTTGTGTTTTGCCTCAAATCGTGTAGTCCAGTGGTTAATAAGAGGGCCATACCTGAGGGAAACATGTGTACATACACATAGTCACACATTACATGAATGTGTGTACTTGTATAATTATATGTATGTGATATTAGACCCTCACTCCTTCGTTAGCCTTGGCATGTGAACAATGGAGTGCATTTTCATCGTTATCTGTGTATCTGGATACAGCTCCAAAAATGTAGAGTGGTGATCACTAATCAGAGCTTCCAGGTAACCAATCGCATCATCAGCAACAGAGTGAGAAAAGAGGATATCGATTATATCCAAAAGGCACAAGAAATTCTCCCAGTGCTTGTCATCCTCCGGGATCAGGTGTCCAATGACGAGAGAAAGAAATCGTGCCAGAGTCCACATTTGCATTGCTGCACAGAGATAAGAATGTGTAACAATCTATGTACATAATACATGTGTAAACATATTCATACCGTGCTGATGAAGATTTGAATCACAAGACGTGAGAGAAACACCACTCAAAGTTGATGGTTTGTCACCATCAAATGAACGCAAATTCAGTTTCTTAAACCCATCATCAATAAAGGTCAGTGAGAACAGTTTTTTGTCTATCACAAATACCTGTGTAAAAAAGCGCATACATGTATGGCATGCACATTTACACTGCATGTTAAACCTTGAGCATGAGCTTGACTTCAAGTGGAAGAGCACCTTCCAGAACATCATGCATGATGTCCGGGATGAGTGCACCTGATGCAACACTGAAGTACGACAGTGTATGTAGAAGAGCACGACGGTTGACACCATAAACCAGTGAAAAGTGCTGTTTGTCGGCACTTGAAAGATCTTGTCTGTCTAAAACATCACAGTGATAAGAGTGTCGTTCATCAGTGCGGAGAGTAAACTGGGACTCAACAAACTGAAAGAAAAAGGTTGCATACAAGTACAGTACATATGTGTTACTCATGTATAATTATACATAATTATGTATGTAGTCTGTTTGTATGCAAATGTACATGTATGTTGAGTTGTGTATATTCTGTATGTGTATACACATGTGCACGTAGTACAGGAGGTGTCACCTTGGACTGTATATCATCTTCACTTCCTAAGCAGTGGCGGCAATACCGAAATGCAGATGCACTCGATCTGCTTGAAACCTCCGAGAGAAGCACTGGCAGGATTGTCTGCTGACACAATGGAGATTGTTCCACGAAAAAAAAGTGTGTTTCCATCTATTACAAAGGGAACACCTGTTGGCTAGAAAAAATGCATGTATGACAACTGCAAAATCATTTGTACATTATCATATGTACCTACCGACTCAAGTTTCTCAATATCTTTTACAGCGGTTCTAGAATTTGATCAATGCCAAACTCAGCCACTGATGAGTACTTGGCCAAGATAAGGAGCTGGATACTGTGTATTTTTGATCGAAAGCGTGGGTCAACATTCCCAAGAATGTAGTAAAATGCTCCTGCAAGTACGTGTGCATTGTATACATTATTATGCATACATGTACGTACATATATTATGTATACCAATTTTGTGTTTCTTTCGCCTTGACCCTAAAGGATTACAGAGTTCCAGCTCATCATAGTAAAGGATTAATTGAAGGGCCACAGGGTCAGTAGAAAACAACGGATGTGTCTGATAGATTTCACCATCGCAATAATCATTCATAATAGTAGTAGGGGTCTGGCGATTAGTATCCATCACCTATAAAATAATGTACACATAGCTACACGCTATATTACGAAACTGCATGTTCACTTTGCATCTACATGTACAACGTTATTACCTGTTCAAAGATGGTGGCATTGTTTAGAAGTTGTTCAAGCGTTTTGAGCAAAGGAACATACATAATCTCTTCTTTCTGCACAGCCACTTTGCGTGAGCGCCCACAGAGTCGAAGTGTTCTTGTTTCTTTCAAGATAATTCTCACAGGTTCCTATGAAGGGAATTAGTGACATGAACATGTAGAAACTCATCTGTGGAGGCCAAACTTCACCTAATATGAAATGTACATGTATGTATAATTGGCGAGCGGAAGCGAGCTAACCTAGTGGTCCGAACGGCGCGATTTTTCTATATATCAGAGCGTCGGTAGACGCTCTATATAGG